ATCTGAAGCCAGGAGCCAGGAGCTTCTTCCAGGTCTCCCACGCAGGTACAGGGGCCCAAGGACTTGGGTCATCATCTACTGCTTTCCCAGGCCATAGCAGAGAGCTGTTTTGGAAGTGGAGCACCCAGGACTCAAACCAGCACCCATATGGGATGCTGGCACTGCAGGCAGTGGCTTTACCTGCTATGCCACGGCTCCAATAAATGCATTTTTTGAAAGCCAGTACCAAGTGTGACAAGCATGTGGAGAAACTGGAACTCTCATACAATGCTGGTAAAAATGTAAAATGGTGGGGCTTGCGCCGTGGCGCAGTGGGTTAAGGTGCTGTCCATAGGCCGGCATCACACATGGGCACCAGATGAAGTTTGGGCTGCTCCACTTCCAATCCAGCTCCCTGCTATGGCCTGAGAAAGCAGTAGAAGATGGCCCAAGTGCTTGGGCCCCTGCAACCATGTGGGAGACTCAGATGAAGCTCCTGGCTCCTGGCTTTGGCCTGGCCCTAGCCTAGGCTGTTTTGGCCAATTGGGGAATGAACCAGTAGATAGAAGATCTGTTTCTCTCTGTCCTTCTCGTTCTCAGTCTCTCTCCCTCTCTCTGGAACTCTGTCTTTTTTGTTTTAAAGATGCTATTTATCTATTTATTTATCTGAAAGGTGCCAGCCCCTGTACAATGGGGCAGCTGCTTTGGAGAACAATCTGACAGTTTCTCAAATGGCTAAAAATATGAGTGGAAGGTTTCCACAACTGCTGCTGCCCCTCTGACGGCCGTGGGGAGGCTTCACCCACACCTGGTTCCTAAGACAGCCACGGGTCTCTGGGCAGGTCTGCTGCTCCTGGTCTCCACGTTCCTCCCTAACCCCAGACCCTCTGAACGGTACTGGTATTTCATCCACCAAACCACTGGTTTCTCTCTTTACTACTCATCCCCTGACAGGTCGAGAGTCCTCTGATTCTTCCCCTTGTTTCCCACGTACTCTGTCCACAACATCCCTGGGCTTGCCCACGCAGAGGCGCTCCTGTGCTAACACTCAGTGCAAACGCCTCCCTTTTTCTAGCCAGGAGCAATCGAACCACCTCATGCAAAGGTAACCAACCGGCTTTGCTACAGATAAAGACTTAACCATCCTTTACATCTGATACACTGTTAGCCACAGACCAGCAGGCCTAAATGCCTACAGGGTAAGAAACCAGAGACTCGGGCGGCGCTGTGCAGTCGCAGGTTAAGCCTCCGCCTGTGGGGCTGGCATCCCACATGGACGCCGGTTCAGTGTCCTACCTTCTCCCTTCTGATCCAGCTCCTTGCTGATGCCCTGGGAAAGCGGTGGAAGATGGCCCAAGTCCTTGGGCCCCTGCACCCATGTGGGAGACCCGGAAGAAGCTCCTGGCTCCCGACTTTGGATCAGCCCAGCTCCAGCAGTTGTGGCCATTTGGGGAGTGAACCAGTGGATGGAAGGCCTCTCTCTCTGTCTCTCCCTCTTTCTGTTTGTAACTCCGCCGCTCAAATATTAATATTAAATATTACAAAAGGGGGGGCCATGGCACAGCAGGTTAAAGCCCCAGCCAGGAGTACTGGCATCCCATATGGGCACCGGTTCAAGTCCCAGCTGCTCCACTATGGCCTGGAAGAGCAGTAGAAGATGGCCCCTCCCGCATGGGAGACCCGGAACCAGCTCCTGGCTCCTGGCTCTGCATCAGCTTAGCTCATCTGGGGAGTGAACCACCTCTCTCTGTAACTCTTTCAAAAAAAAAAAAAAGAAAGAAAGAAAGAAGAAAAGCAAGCAAGCAAGCAAACAAAAAAACCCAGAGAATCAAAACAAAAGCTGGTGTCTGAATCCAAAGATGGCAAGAAGTTGCAAAAGCAGGCTTGTGACGGGAAAGTGCATCGAGAAAGGCCAGTGACCCACCCAGAGCCACGTGGGCCTGGCTCCCTAGAGAACTGGCAGATCTTACACTCTCTTCTGGGCACCAGTCTGCATTTCCCAGCTGGGACCGCTGCACTGCTAGGCCTTACAGCAGGCCAGGAGGAAGCAACAGAACATGGGGGCAATGACCTGCCCAGCACCGGGGCACCCGCGTGCACGGCACAACCCCCACGCTCATGCTGGGAGGCGGGCATGCGTCTCTTTCAAGCCAGTGCCTTTCCAGCCAGCCCCTCAAACAAACTTTCACAAAGTTCGCCAAGAAAGAAGGTGGGCCCCCGTGCGAGAGCAGGAGCTCAGGTCCCCGCCCGGGTACCATTCAGAGGCCCCCGTCTGATGCCCTCACCTGGGCAGACTCCCCGCCTGCTGAGCAGCAAACCAGGCACCGCTCACACTGCCAGGAGCCGGCAGGCACAGGCACGCACCCGGAGCACACTTGTTCTGTGACAAGATCACCTGCCCCGGGCCTTGGCCGGGAGAGAGGAAAGAGGAGCAGGAGGCAGGGAAAACAAGAGCAGCCGCTCAGGCCCCACGCGCTGGACAGCTGCTGCACCGCCCGCTGCGGCCCAGGTTCCTTCGGCCACCCCGCTCCTGACTCCCAGGCCTCGCAGCGCTCCGCACAGGCCGGGCGCTTTCTAGTGAGAAGCAGGAGGTGGGACGGAACCAAGGAGTGACTTCCAGAGAAGGACACGGGGTCACATTTTGATGACCCAGTTTCCCTGCAGATGTGGCCAGATGACCCCTGGGGCAGCGGGAGACCAGAGGAACGGCCTCTGCTGGGCCGAGCAGCTCCTCTGGGTGGTCCTGGCCCTGCTGGGACCCTCAACACCCCCAGTGAGGATGCTGAAAACAGTAACGTACCCAGACCAAGAAACACACGCGTGCTTCCCTGTATCAGACGGCAAGATCCGAAACCCCAACTCAGACCACGCTGCCCTGATCGCCAGCCAAAGGCACCCCTGGCTCCTCCAGCCAAGTCCAGTCCTCGCCCCTTTGTCATCACTTAGTCCTGGCAACTTCAAGCGCTCGGACAAGACAGGGAGCCTAACAAACTGAAACCCACAGGGAACCCCAGCTTCCTTTTCCTCACTCGATCCTCTCACTTGGAGAAATGGCAGGAGGCAAGGAGCCACTGGTGGGAAGAAAGACCTCTACCCACCCCACCCCCCCAACAAACAAGCAGCAGACCGGCAAAGCCACGCAGCTCCGATTCCTGCCAGGGGCTGCCGGACAACCTCCAAGCACCCCAAGGATCCAAGCCCCTTGCTCTGGCCCAGGGCCACCGTCACCACGCACCCTCACGCCCCCATGGAGCCTACACAGAAGTCAACGCTGTGAAGAGTACCCCCCAGAAGGAAGGCACCGCACCTCTAATGGGAATAATCTTCCCGATGCCAGGCCTCCACTTCCCTCCAGTGTAACACCCCCTCTCCCCCCCAACCCAGGGAGACCCTGGCCAAGGAGGCCTGTGCTCCTCCAGCCCACGGTCTTATTCAAGAAGAAAAGGAAACCCACGGAGGGCTTTCCTGGGCAGGGGGAGGAGGCCCAGAGGGTGGGACGCTTGGAGCAGCCACACCAGCCAAACGGCCGGGACCACAGAATATTCCGGCAGCCACCGCCACTTGCCCTGTCAGCTGGACATGAGCTGGCAGCCGGCTCCGAGGGACAAGGGGGTATACCCATGCAGCAGCCAGGGTGAGGCGAGGAGAGGCAGCGGGGAGGAAGGCCTTCCCGCCGCGCTCCGAGGGCTGCCTGGGGCGCGCACACCAGGCGCAGGAAGCCAGAGGGGCTGCGGGCAAGGGGAGGACGCGACCGCACACCGTGGAGACACCAGGCCGCGCGTGGCGTGCGGGGAGTGCACCGGGCCCGACGGCGTGCAAGGGCGGGGCGAGGGCTGACCGCCCGTCGGCGGCAGGGCCCGCGGGGCGTGGGGGCGCGCGCGGGGGAGCTGGTTACCGTGTGGTTCACCCCCCACATCAGGACGCTGAGGATCGGCTCGCTGGCCCGGAATAGCTTCACTTTCTGGCACACGAAATGCTTCTTCTTGGTCTTGGTCTTGCTGGCGCTGAGCGGCGCCACCGCCACCGCCGTGGTGCTGGTGCAGTTGGACGACATGCCCGGGGCGGCGGCGGCGGCGGCGGCGGCCGAAGGGGGGGCGGCGGAGACGGCGCACAAGCCAGCGGCCCCAGGCCTCCCCCGGACCGATCCCCACCCCCGCTGCCTCACCGCGCCATGGTCGCGCCCGTCCCGTTACCTCCCCACCCCGCCCGGGTGGTTGCGTCCGCCCCACGCCCCGCCCTCCCCGCCCCGCCCCAGGGAGCCGGCCGGTCCGCTCTGCACCCCGCCCCGCCGTCACCAAGCCCTCTCCTCCCCGCCGGATTGGTACTGCCCGTCCCCGCCAGCCCCTCCTCCCCGCGCCTGACAGGAGCCTGGCCGGCCTCCGCACGCCTCAGAGCCACGCGCCAGAGCCGGAAGGGGAACAGGGAAGGGCAGGTGTCGCTGTGTACTGCGGGACAGGGTCCCCTGTCCGGGCCCCCACAAAAGCCAGGCTTCGGCTCGTTCTCTCAATCCGGACTGCCAAGATGGCGGCCGCGCCACAGCTCCGTGAGGCGGAGGCGGGGTGGGACGTACCATCCCCACCCCGGGGGAGACGGGAGGAACGCAGATGGGAAAAGGAAGTCCAGCCTGGAAAACCAAGGAACGCCCCCTCGCCCCACCCAAGCGTGGATCTTCCCACTCCCCCGGACCGAGGGCGCGCTCCACTCGTGGGGCACGCCCCTTTCCCCCAGGACCAATGGGAGGAGTGGGCCGGGAGCCCTGGGTTTTATGAATGGGTCCCGTGCCCACCCACCTGTCGCCTGGCCTCCACAGGCCGAAGGGTCGAGTTAAGACGCTAGCAGCGGCCACCAACCCTGAAAACCATCTTAATATCTGGCTCACTTCTTGAAATGTTTGAGTAAACTGCTCGGGCTTTGTTACATAATTCCTCGGGAGGAAGGACCTCCTATATTTGATACAAATCACCAGTCAACATTGTTCCCGGGGCAGGAATTCATAAACCCAGTACTCCAAACGTGGTCTCTTTAAACAGTTACAAAAATAAACGTAACCTTTATTACTCAGTAATAAAAACCATAATTAGCCATAGCATGGGGAATCAGGATGAGGTGATGAAATGACTTAAGAGTTATGTTACATTCTCTCTGAGGAAAGACTGGGTTTTAAGCATGGAAGTGCCTGGCATCGTAAGTGCTCAGAAATATATATCCGAATGTATTTTAAGCACAAGTAGGAATTAACAAAGCAAGAACCTAGCTCACCCAAGGTGTGGATCAGAGTCCCTAGGAGTTTACTGGACAAACGAGGGCTTCTGGTCAAAACAGAGAAGGGAAAGGGTGAAGACGAGAAAGTAGCCTCTTGAGTGGGTTTTTTAAACACGAGACTAAAAAAGACTAGTAAACAACTCCTGAAAGCCCAGACCCTAAGACTACTACATGATAAAAGAGGCCAGGAAATAAACAGCTTCCGTTTTATTTTCTTAGGAGCCAGGAAGCACACTGACAATCTGCTCCTGACTCCTCACATCATGACTGCACACTAGACTGCGGCATCGGAGGCTGAGCAGCAGAAAGGGAGAGATCTCTGGATCCCATCAATAAACCCGGCTCCTCCTAAACCTGCTGGATTCAGAGAGAACAACTGACCTGCCTTAACCCGTTACTCACCAACAAGGGTCAACAGTAAAGGCATTTACCAGACAAGGTATTCTCACAAAGCATTTAAAAAAAAAAAAGCATGTAGAAATCATACATTTATACATATGTACAGTTTTCAGCTCAAAAGACCAAAGAGTTCACAGTTCATCCAGGGCTTTTGTACTGCTTTCCCTTCCAGACTGTTTGCCACTGCCTTGGTTCTCCCTAGCCTGACATTATTCGGTCACATTATCTACTAAGTCAAGTAAATGTTCACTTGTACACCATATAGCGGGGTGATTTTGAAGAGGGTCTGAGACGCGCAGTCTACACGCGGGCAGACGTGGCCTGTCACAACCCAGGGAGCAGTCTCCCAGCAGGATGAGGTCCAACACCACCGGTTACAGACACAGGCAAAGCCCATTCTGTACCCAAGCGGCCATTACTAAGGGTCTCCTACAGGATTCTACCAAGGGTTCGCCCAAGAAGTGAGCTGGTTCAGGAGTCCATGGGAGGAAGTCACTTTGAACAGTGGTAGTTTAACATCTGTGGAAGAAGTCATCTGAGCTCTTATAAAGAGAACTTTGAAGGGGTCAGCAGCCTCCCTGGAAAATTCAGGAAAACCAGTGAGAGGGGACTGTATTCATCTTTTCATGAAGTTCCTCTCCAGAGCCACTGAGGTTCTCTGTAGGGAGTAGATGTTCCGCTTGACTCGGTCCTCCAGGGAGGAAGTGGATGCGCTCTGGAGTTTCATGTGGCTAAGGAAGACAAGACAGGCGAATGGAAGTCAAAAACAATTTTCAGCTAGGCAACTATCTGGCAAAATTAGAACAAACAGGTTGCTGGCCATACAGCAGCTGTAGAAACACAAGCTCACTTTAGCCCATACATAGATAACTTACCAGTGACTCCATCTGGAAGCAAGTTTTTTAAAATCACTGTTCATAAGGGGAAATATATCTGTTTTGGAAAACAAGTCAAAGCTGCACTGGAAAAAGGCTTCCTGAGCCATGAATTTTTATTTCAAAGGAAGGCCAAGGGTTGGCACAGTGATGCAGCAGGTTGAACAGCCTGCTGCAGCACCAGAATCCCATATGGGCACCTGTTTAAGTCCCGGCTGATCCAGCTCCCTGCTGGTGGCCGGGGAACGCAGCTAAAGATGGTCCAAGTGTTTGGGCCCCTGCTACCCACTTGGGAGAATTGGAAAACTGGCTCCTGGCTTCAGCCTGGCGCAGTCCATCTGGGGAGTGAATCAGTAGATGAAGTGCTCTTTCTCGCTCACTCTTTCAAATAAATAAATCTTTATATATATACATACATATGTGTGTATATAAATATATATATATATATATATTTATGTGTATGTGTGTGTATATATATAAATAAAAAGGCCAGGCTGGCACTGTGGTGTAGTGGGTAAAGCTGCCACCTGCAGTTCCAGTGTCCCATAAGGGCGCCAGTTCAAGTCCTGGCTGCTCCACTTCTGATCCAGTTCTCTGCCATGGCCTGGGAAAGCAGTAGAAGATGGCCCAAGTCTTTGGGCCCCTGCACCCGTGTGGGAGACCAGAAGAAGCTCCTGGCAGCTCGCTCTCTCTCTCTCTTCTCTCTGTGTAACTCTTTCAAATAAATAAATAAATCTAAAAAAAAAAAAAAAAAAAAAGTCTCACACTGGAATCAGGGCATGTTGCCCAGAAGTTAAGGCCTGCACATCACACAGAGCTCCAGCTCTGGATTCCAGCTTCCTGCTAATGCAGACCCTGGGAGGCAGCAGCCATGGCTCAAGTAATTGGGAGAACTGGATTGGGTTCCAAGCTCCCAGTTTGGCACCAGCACAGCCCTGGCCGTGTGGGCATTTGGGGAGTGAACCAACAGATGGGAATGTTCTTAGTCTGCCTCTCAAATTAATTTAATTAACTAGATTGCTTTAGGGGGAGCCCCTCCTAGTGTCTGGCCAAAAGCTGGGAATGGTAACAAAGTAGCCAGAGCTGATTTCCTGTGCTCTACACAGACCCCAGAAGGCCCCACACAGCACCAGCGCCGGCCCTGGCCAGCCTCGGGATCGCCCCGGCCGGGAAGACACACTCACTGGAGAAACCTGCCGTCCCGGGCGCCCAGCTTCTCCAGCCGCTGCTCCCGCTCCTCGGCCTTCGCGTGCTTCCTCAGGAGGCTCAGCCGCTCCTCCTCCCGCCATTTGGCGTTTTCCATCATCTCCTGCCGTTTTCGCTCGAGTTCCTCTGCTGAGAGCTTCCTGTGTGCACAGAACCCATCCTGTGAGGCCTACTTCTCTCCCAGCGAAAATCCTGAAGCTGTGCAGGCAGAGGGAAAGGGGTGGGGGGCTCTCCGCTCTCTCTCTCCAGGGAAAAGCCCAGCCCACGGCAAGCCGGCCTGAGCTCCCTTCCTTCCTCACAGCCTGGTCAGGGGGTTTCACCGGGTTTCACAGACCTTCACTGAAGGATTCCACAGATTCAGTGACCTCCAGAGTGATTACTTAGAAACAATAAACACGAAATACACTGAGGACGAACCAGAAGTCCAAACCTATGGCTGTCTACTCAACAACTTCCAGAACTCAGGACTAGGCCACCCCATGAATGCCGACATCTACCGTCCACCCACTGCAGGTAACCAGAAACTCGTGGCCACAGCCCATGCATGAGGAACCACTTTAGGATTATGCCACGAGGGAGAAACGGGAATGATTCATCCTAACCTCAGAAAGTAAGAGAAAGAAGAAAAGGATGAGAGGAACCAGCTTTGTCACTTTGTAACCACAGCAGGCACCCAAGCCCTTTGCTTCTTGAATGGTGTCACATACAGGAAGAATAATTATCAGAGTCCTGTAAGAGAGTGAAGCCTAACTTGGGGATACGAACTTAATAATACTAAAACCTGACAATGAGTTATCTTTACAGAAATTACTGTACTCTCACCATAAAGAGAATAGAAGGGAACCTAACAGCGGGTAAGAGATATCAACAAACTGTCGCAAGACAAAGGAGTGGTGACACCTTAAGCAGACTAGAAGAAACTGAATTCTAAGTGCCCACACTAAGAACAAGCAAGTGGACTCGTACTGCAAAGTCCAGCAGAGTGGCAGGCACTATGGTGTGGTCAGTTAGGCTGCCCCCCGGGACACCCACATCCCATACTGCGGTGTGAGTTCCAGTCTCAGCCACTCAGCTTCCAGTCCAGCTCCTGCTAATGAGTCTGCAAAGCAGCAGATGGTGGCTGAAGTACTTGAGTTCAGGCCACCCACATGAGAGACCCAGATGGAAGTCCCGTCTCCTGGCTTCAGCCTGACCCAGCCATTTGAGGAATGAACCAGAGATGGATGATTCTCCCTCTCTGTTTCCCTGCATTTCAAATATATAAATAAATCTTTAAAAAAAAATTCTATGGTGGATAAGAAAGACAAAGTGAGACAAATTCAAGTAAAAGCAGATGGCAAGAAATAAGAGCAAAGTATAAAAAAGCTTAGTCACGTGCTGAAAAACCATAAAACCTAAACCTGCATGCACTCACAGGCATCACTGAGGGCAGCATGAATTACAGTTCACCTGAAGGGCTGAACCCATCTCCCCAGTGGAAGACTAAGTTCTGCATGTGCGCATAAGATATTCTGGGGAAGCAGAAAAATGTGTAACATACTTTGGAAAGCTGTCAGTCAAAGTGAAATCAAACCTTTTGGGGCCAGTGCTGTGGCGCAGTAGGTTAATCCTGCACCTGCAGCGCTGGCATCCCATATGGGCGCCAGTTCTAGTCCTGGCTGCTCTGATTCTGATCCAGCTCTGCTACGGCCTGGGAAAGTAGTAGAAAATGGCCCAAGGCCTTGGGCCCCTGCATCCACGTGGGAGACCCTGAAGAAGCTCCTGGCTCCTGGCTTTGGATCAGCGCAGCTCCAGCCGTTGCGGCCAACTGAGGAGTGAACCAGCAGATGGAGAACCTCTCTCTTTCTCTCTGCCTCTCCTTCTCTCTCTGTGTGTAACTCTGACTTTCAAATAAATAAATATGTCTTAAAAAAAAAAAAGTTTCTGTTCCCTGGAAACTTGGGAAATCAGGCAATTAAGAATTAAAAGGGGGGCTGGCGCCATGGCTCACTTGGTTAATCCTCTGCCTGCGGCGCCAGCATCCCATATGGGCGCCGGGTTCTAGTCCCGGCTGCTCCTCTTCCAGTCCAGCTCTCTGCTATGGCCCGGGAAGACAGTGGAGGATGGCCCAAGTGCTTGGGCCCCTGCACCAGCATGGTGAAGCACCTGGCCATTTGGGAGGATGAACCAACGGAAGGAAGACCTTTCTCTCTCTCACTGTCTAACTCTATTTGTCAAATAAAAAAAATAAAAAAAAGAGTTAAAAGGGACCCTCAAGTCATGGCTCTTCTGAAAGGACAGTAAATAAAACAACTTCATTCTCAGTGTTGGCTGTACAATGGAATCACTGGGGAACCTCAGAGATATGACTTTGCAGGGGGGTAAGCATTTGGTGTAGAAGTTGAGATGTCACTTCCCGCACCCCAATTTCATGAGTGCCTGCATTCCAGTTGGGTTCTGCCCCTGATTCCAGTTTTCTGCTAATCCACACTCTGGGAGGCAGCAGGTGATGATCCAAGTAGTTCCATGCTCTTGGCTTCAGCCTGGTCCACCCCAGCTACTGCAGGAATTTGTGGTATGAACCAGCAGACTAAAGATTTCTGTGCCTCTGCCTTTCACATAAAGAAGCAAAGAAACAAAGACATACTGGCCTCTGGTCCAACTCTAGAGATGATGATGTAATTGGGCTAGGGGATAGTCAGGTAAAAAGATTGCTTTTAAAAAAAAAATTATTTATTTATTTGAAAGGCAGAGTTAGAGAGAGAGAGAGAAAGAGAGAGAGTCTTCTATCCACTGATTCACTCCCCAAATGGCTACAACGGCCAGAGCTGCACTGATCTGAAGCCAGGAGCTTCTTCTGGGTCTCCCATGTGGATGCAGAGGCCCAAACACTTGGGCCATCATCTACTGCTTTCCCAGGCCATAGCAGAGAGCTGGATCAGAGCGGAGCAGCCAGGACTTGAACCAGCATCCACATGGGATGTCGGCACTGCAGGCGGCAATTTAACCCACTGTGGCACAGCGTGGGCCCAGGATTGCTTTTTAAGTATCCCAGGTGTTTCTAATGTACAGCCAATTTATTTAGAAGCACTGGTCCAGGGGCTGGCATTGTGGCGCAGCAGGTTAAGCCACCACCTGCAATGCTGGCATCACATATGAGCACTGGTTCAAGTCCCAACTGCTCTACTTCAGATCTAGTTCCCTGCCAATGCATGGCCCATGTGCTTGGACCTCTGACATACACATGAGAGATCCAGTTGAAGCTCCTGTCTCCTGGCTTTGGCCTGGTCCAACCACAGCCATTGCAGCCATCTGGGGAAGTGAACCAGCAGATGGAAGATCTCTCTCTCTCTCTCTCTCTCTGTAACTCTTTCAAATAAATAAAGTCTTAGGAAAAAAAAAAAAAGCAGCAGCAGCAGCAGCAGCAGCAGCAGCAGCACTGGTCCATACATTACATGGGAGTAGCAAGTTCATAAAAGCTGACCTCATCCGAACTTTATTAAAAGCAACCTTGTAACCCAGGGACAGTCTTTCATGCACAGAGCCAGCTCTGCAGGTCCCAGGGCTGCCCCCACCCACCCCGTGCTCTCTCTGATCCACTCCTCACCCAACCCAAATTCTCAGGATTTCTGCCACAAGGGGAGCATCCTCTTTCCCTTTCAGTGGATGCCTGGAGGGAGAAATGTGCTCTTAAGATTCTCCGTGGAATCTCTGAAAATCAGCACACTTACAGATGGCAGAGACAGTCACTCACCAAGTGTTCACTAAGCTGAAGCTCTTTACTTTGTCCTCACGACATGCTGTGCATGAGGAGGAAGACCACTAAAGGCTGACAAGCTGGGGGCCGGTGTTTGGCCCAGCAGTGTGGATGCTGTGTCTCCTATCAGAGCACCTGGGTTCTAAGTCTGCCTCCAGCTTCCTCCTGATGCAGATCCTAGGAGGCCACAGTGAAGGCTCAAGTAACGGATTCCTGCCACCCACATGGGACACCTGGACTGAGTTCCTGGATCCTGGCTTCAGCTTGGCCCAGATCTGTCAAGGGGATCTGGAAAATGAACCAGCAGATCGAAGACCTCTCTCTCTCTCTCTCTGCCTTTCAAATAAATAAGTAAATCTTTAACTAGGCCTCATTTAAGCCACCTTGGGTTGGTGTCTACAGTGTCTGAAATTAACCTCCAGGGTTCCTGACTCACCTGGTGTATCCAGGAGCATGTCGCCTTTGGTAGACTTCCTTTTTAGGTGATGGGCTCTTAGTCTGGCCTCGTTCTCGTCTGTTTACCTTAGAGTTGTGCCTGTAATGATCACAGGAGGGGGGAAAGTCTTTTCAATTCAGGGGCTTTTAATTTACCCCCCAAGGAATGGAAGCAGAGTTAACAGTCACAGAACTACGATCTGAATGGAAAACAACAGAGAGCAAAGTAGAAAACAAAGGCATAGGGATTCCTAAGATTTTATATAAACTTACCCTAGAGATTTTATTAGCACAGCTTATTCCTACAAACATATTATTCTGGGGGCCTGAGCTTTATTGAGGAGGGGAAAAAATAATGTCAAAGTAGCCAATAAGGGTAGATGTTCCCTGTAGTTTTCTAATCATAAAACTCCAATATGTTGTGTTTTTATGTATCATAAATGATACTATGTCAAATGTGTTGTTTTTAACATAATTAAACACACAATTTTAAAACCAGAAAAAAAAGTAGCCGCCAAGCAAACAGTAGGCAGAGTATCACTAACGGTGAACAGCTGCTGTGACCAGGTCCCCTGCAGGCACAGGTCATCTCCCAGCGGAATCTCACTCACAGTTTGCTGGGCCTTGGGGACCGTGACCTTCTGCCTGGGGAGCGAGACCTCCTGTCCCGGAGCCCTGCATCCCTGCCGCTCTTCTTGCTGGCATGTCTCGGGGGTGAAGAGGAGGAGCTTCTGGACCTGGATCGGTTCTTCATCCGATGCACGCCTCTTTGCTCTGCCATCAAAGGGTCCTGCAGTCCCTGGTTTCGGTCAGAGTTCCTGACCTGTATCATTAAGGAAAGAAAGAGAAGCTACTAAGAGGAAAATGCAGCAGTTCAGAGAAGATGAGTGAACAAGGAAGAGAACGAGCAATGAGGTTTGGTAAGGAACAACAGAGAAAGAGCACAGAGAACTGGGCGCGCCTGGGAACATTATCTCTAGAACCCCCTGGAAGGATGAACCCCCTCCCAAGCACCTAGACTGGCTTGGCTTTTATAACCCAAGGAAGTGTCGGAGGCAGAGGCCTGCAGGACAGGACCTACGACTGGAAATACAGTGATGTACGTTTGTCTGAAGTCATTAACCTGGGGTACAGCAGTTAAGTCACTGGGATGTCTTCAATCCCATATCAGAGTACCTGGGACTGAGTCCAGGCTACACCGCTTCCAGTTCAGCTGCCTGCTAAGGTGCGCCCTGGGAGGCAGATGATGGTTCAAATACTTGGGTTTCTGCCACCCACCCACATGGGAGATCTGGATTGAAACAGACTGGTGGCTTCAGGCTGACCAGGTCCCAATTGTCGTAGCATCAGGGAGTGACCCAGTGAATGAAAGATCTCTGTCTCATCTCTCTGCCTTTCAAATAAATGAATACTAAGGAAGCTCAGGAACAAGGAACAGGCCTGTTCCCCAGTAGCCCCAGTCTTCCCCATCTAAACTCCCTGCATCTGCAGCTGTCAGGGCACCCCACTGCACAGCCCCACAGCCACTCCTGTGAGAAGCCCGATCCCTACCTGTAAGCCATATCCAGGGACTTTGGACAAAACAGGGGCAGAATGTGCCATCTTCTTTTGAGATCTAAGAGAATAAAATACACACACACTCTTGCTGAAAACGTGCAAAGGTCTGCTTTCATCTCTCAGGCTGAACGTGCCTCCTGCCTCCACTGCGACCTTTCTCAGCTCCCAGCTCCTTCTTGGCAGTGTTGGCTCTCTATTGGGGCTGTCTCTGCTGCAGGAAGCATCAGCACAGGCAAGTGCTTCCTGGGAAAAAATGTGGGCCGAACAGCCCCGACGCCCAACACATTCTCCTCTCAGCTCGTGTTGCTATTCCAGGGACTAATAGTGAGTCAGCAGCAACAGCGCTGACAGTTCCCACGGGGAAGGCACACACAACAGGCCCACGTGGGCCCGTTCGCCCATTAAAAAAAAAAAGCCCACATCAAACCCACAGCAGCCTGAGGACTCTGAAGCTGAGCTAAGAGAGAGCCACGGCCAGGATGTCTGACACAGACCTGTGAGGCTGAAGTCAGCTCTGTGAGGGATCTCTCTCCAGGCACAGAGACCACCCAAGTTAGCACCTCGGAGGAATTCCAGGGCTAGCAAGTAGCTTGGCGGGCACAGGGCACGTGTCTGAGAGCTCTCCGCTGAGAGCCAGGGCTGGCAGTTCTCGGTTCCTATCTTAGGAAAGATGAGTGAATGAGAAGGGAGTGAGTGACGAGGGCGCAGCTCGCGACACTCACCTGCCCCTGCTATGCTCCTCGTCGCTGCCGGAACGATCGCTACTGGAGCTTCTATGCTTGTGCTTCTTGTGCTTCTTCTTTTTCTCCTTCTTTTTCTTCTTCTCCTTTTTTTCCAGGCTCATTTGCAACTGGAAAATGCCAGAACACAGCTAACAAGATTACTGAGACCCCTCCACACAGGGGACTGACTGGGTCACACAGACTGCCTGACTCTGCGCTGCTAGAGCAGTCCAGGCCGTTATGGGAAGTTTCCCGTCAACAGAGGGGAGGAGGCTGATAACCTAGCAACGCACAACCCACCACTGACCACTGAACCAAACTTGGGGGAGATGGGACAGCAGAATGAGCTCTGGAGCAGTTCTGAACCAGTGCTGAGGAGGTTCCATTCTACGTCAAAACCACTCCGACTCCACTGAAAGCAATCAATACTGTAAGGGCAATCCCCCACCAGGGGATGGGCTCCAAAAGCTAACAATTTGTAAGGCCATTCTGTTTTTCTTCTCATAAGGTAAGAGTGAATGGACAGAAGCTGTCACATTAAGTAGCTAAAAAAATACCTAGTGTTACTTGATGCACAACTTACCAATTCTTTGATTTTCTTCATTTTCACGGGATTATTCAATACCTCTCTTTTTTTCTCCTCCTCTTTCTTCCTAAATAGAGAAAGTGATAAAAAACACAACTCCTTCTTTTGGAGAAAGGAGTAAGTCATTATAATCTCTACCCTCTACGTAACAAACTCTTCACCAAAGACACAGGGACAGGCCTACGCTGAAATCTGCAGAGTGCTCTGGAAGCTAGAAATCTCCCCCAGATCAGCACAGGACACTGCACATTGTGGAGAAAGCTTGCACTGGTGTATTCTTGTGTAGCTGGCGCTGCGCTGATCCGACGGCAGGAGCCAGGTGCTTCTCCTGGTCTCCCATGGGGTGCAGGGCCCAAGCACCTGGGCCATCCTCCACTGCCCTCCCAGGCCACAGCAGAGCTGGACTGGAAGAGGAGTAACCGGGACAGAATCTGGCACCCCAACTGGGACTAGAACCCGGGGTGCCGGTGCCGCAGGCGGAGGATTAGCCAAGTGAGCCACGGCGCCGGCCCCTGACAAAATATTTGTAACAATTACAATATACTGAACAGATAAATAACTTTAAAAAGAATTTGCAAAAGAGAAATGTAAAAAACATTTTTCAATGTTTAATCTTACACACTAGAAATAAAATAATGCAGGAGCTGGCATTGTGGCATAGCAGGTGAAGCCACTGCCTCCAATGCTAGCATTCCATATGGGCGCCGGTTCATAACCTGGCTGCTCCACTTCTGATCCAACTCCCTGCTGGTGGCCTAGGAAGGCAGCTGAAGACAGTCCAAGTATTTGGCCCCTGCTACCCACATGGGATACCTAGAAGAAGCTCCTGGCTTCTGGCTTCTGGCTTCAGCCTGGCCCAGTCCCAGCCATTTAAGAAGTGGACCAGTGGATGGAAGAGTCTCTCTCTTTGTAGCTCTGACTTTACAACAAACAAATAAATCTATTTTTAAAAAAACTAATAAATAAGGCAAATTAAACCAAAGTAAATATTATGCATAATATGATCTCATTTAGTACCCAAAACATAGCTTTAGTTTATTATTTGAGAGGCAGAGAAAGAGAGACAGAGAGAGTTCTCATCTGCTGGTTCACTCCCAAAATGCCCTCAGGAGCAGAGCTGGGGAGCCACGAACTCAACCCAGGTCCTTCATTTGGCTGGCAGTAACCCAACTACTTAAGCCATCATCACCGCCTCCCAAGATCTGTGTATTAACAGGAAGCTGAAAACAAGACCTAGCGTCAAACCCAGGCACTTCAATATGGGGTATGGGTGTCTACTACTAGGCCATATGACCCCTCCTGCAGCTCTATTTTTTATGTCATATATTAGGATTTCATATAAGAGTCTAACATTTCTTTTTAAAGGGTTCTGCTGTGTCCCTCTCCCCCAAAAAGGGGGTTCAAGCAAGTAAAAAGGCCTGTTTACTCACCTAGCTACTGAAACATGAATCCCAAAATTTGCAAGAAGCTGACAGTCTTGCTTCTGCCTGCTATTTTTGCTTAATGGCTAAAGGTAAATGAATAAATCTGGTCTGATACACTTGCCAACACCTTTCCACATGGCCTATGTCAGGTACCCTAACAGGAGCTCTTTCTCAACATCAGGAAGCCCAGAGACAAATAATTTTGCACGGTAGGTAAAGCCCAGAGGGAACCAACTGTACAGAGAACCAAGAGCCTCTGCAGAGTCACAGCACCTCCGAAACAACCCCTCAGTACCTGATGATGAAGAGTGGGTCCTCCCGGATTTTGCTGGCCATGTCGAGAAGGGAATTGGCACCCGAGGGGGCAAAGATGGAGCCCGGGAGGAGTCCAGTCTCAGAGGAACAGCCTGCCTCCTTCTCCTCCATCTTCTCAAAAACATACTTGTCAATGGGACGTCCCAGCAGGTACTCATCACGGTTCACCATCCCACCAGGACCCTGGTACATCCAGTCCAACTTTTCTTCTTTCTTCCTGGTTCGAAGAAAAACAACAATAACAACAAAATACAATCAAAGAATAAACAGATTCCTGCAGACCTACACTGAACTCTGAACCGATTGGAACAGGATTCAGTCTACGACCACAGACCCTGGGCTGACCGCTGGACCCCACAGAGCAGGTGGTGCTCTCGCCTTCACGGAGCCTACGACTGAGTGGACAGAGAACTTTCACACATGAAAACAGCTCACGAGGAAAAGGCCTTCCTTGGCCTGGGGCACAGACCTTTGCTGCAGGGCCTCTAGAGCCCCCTTCGCAAAGTCTTCCCACCAAGTTTACACTTCAAAGCTGGTCTAATAACATCTGGTGTTTTATGTCATTACCTCATCGCTAAGAACCACCTCAGTACCACATGTGCAGTTGTATGTATTGTGCATTTTGGAGCTCGCTGGCACACAGGCAACTCAATGTGATACCCAGTCGGGGGATAATAAGAAAACAACAGAGCTATCCTAAGAAGGCAATGACGTTTTTAAGCCAAAAGAGGGATACCATGTGCTCGCTTCGGCAGCACATATACTAAAAGAGGAGTACCAGATTATGTCACTGTATCAAGCCAAACAAATATTTCCCTCTGCTTTTGGAAGAAAAAAGTAGTGAGAAAATGCAATCTTCCTATGACAAACAACTAGGGCACACTGAATTCGTCACAACATGTGTAATAACATGTTCACACTACAAATGGCAAAACAGTCTCATTAAAAGAGTATAGTCCATAACATATTTGAATGATATTGTTGTTTCAAATTTTTATATCTTTGTTTTTAAGGTCACAGAACAACTCTAAGCATAAAGAATGACTTCCGATACAGGTGTTTCACCTAGCAGTTAAGATACCCATGTCCCACAACAGAGTGTTCGGGCTTGGTTCCCAGCTCTGGTTCTTGACTCCAGCTTCCTGCTAATACAGACCCTAGGAGGCAGTGGTGACGGCTCAAGTAAGTGGGTTCCTACCACTCAGGAAGCAGGGATGGACTGCATTCCTGGCAGGCACAAGCTGATGTAGGCACCTGGGGAATTCCCAGTGGATGGCAGCTGTCTCTCAAATAAAAACTTAAAAAAAAAAAAAAAAAAGAGTGTCTTCCTAGTTGCATGTTTAGACATTTTAAATTATTTATTTATGTATTTATTTATTTATTTTTATTTGAAAGGCAGAGACAGATCCTCTATCTGCTGGTTCACTCTCCAAATACCCACAACAGCGGAGGCTGCAACCAGGAGCCCAGAACTCAATCCTGGTCCCCCACGTCAGTGACAGGGACCAACCACTTGAGCAATCATCTGCTACCACCCAGGGTGCACATTAGAAGGAGAACAGAATTGCAGGTGGAGCTGGAACTCAAATGCAGGCATCCCAAGCAATATTTTAGCAATGCATCAATACTTGTCCTGGACTATATATTTTATTTTTTTTTTTTAAGATTTATTTATTTGGAAGTCAGAATGGGGGGGGGGGGAGACAGAGAGATATCTCCCATCCATTAGTTCACTTCCCAAATGGCCGCATTTGGCCATTTGTTCCAAAGTCAAGAGCCAGAAGCTTCATCCGGGTCTCACATGTGGGTGGTAGGGGTCCAAGCACCCGGGCCCTCCTCTGCTGCTTTTCCTAGGCCATAGCAGGGAGCTGGATCAGAAGTGGAGCAGCCCAGACAGGAACCAGCATGCATATGGGATGCTGGCAGTGCAGGCTGCCGCTTTACCTGCTGTACCACAACACTGGCCTCCTGTCCCTGAACATTTTTAACAGAGAAATTTAAACCAACACTGGAGAGCCTGACCCTTCAGAATTTTTTTCCTATTAAGAGGATGGGTTTGAGAAACATTGCAGCCTGTAATTAGGAATCGATTGTGGGCTGCTGGGTCACTCATGCAGTTCACCAAAGACTGCTCACCCGGCTGCAGTTAAGGTGGAGGCGTATGTGGGAGAGCCACACTGTGAACTGTGATCCACTGCGGTGGGACCTTTACCATGAATGCCATGTGGCGGTGGCTTCCAGCAAGCAAAGGTGCTCCCAGTTCTCCAGTGTAAATAAACCACAGGCCAGGAGGAAGTCTGACAGTTATCAGACAGGGCGCCACTGTCTTGAGTGAGTGGCAACCGAGGCAAAAAAGGAAACACAACCAGGGCTCCACAGTGAGGAAGGAGCGGTGCGATTCAGGGAGCTGTTTTTTACGAATGACAGCAGAGTGGTTCACTGCAAATCCATCACAAGTGGTGCCTTACGGGAGCCATACTGGCTTCCAGAAATGGCCCGGAGCCCACGACTGTTGGGTCTGCCAAGGCTGGTGACATTCTACTAGGCTTAATTGAAGAAACTGGTATGCTTGTGATAGGATTTGCCACTGAGCAGTTGCCCAACAGCCCTAAGTTGGCTGAAGATCCCTCCCAGTAGCCTTCAACCCAGCTACCAATCTTACTTTTCAGAGACTATGGACAGTATCAATAAAACTCCTTTCCTGGGCCAGCGTTGTGGCATAGTGGGTTAAGCCACCACCTGCAATGCTGGCATCATATGGGTGCTGGTTTGTGTCCCAGTTACTCCACTTCCGATCCAGCTCCCTGCTAATGTTCTGGGGAAAGCAGCAGAAGATGGCCCAAGGGCTTGGGCCCCTGCCACCCACGTGGGAGACTTGGAAGAAGCTCCCGGCTCTGGCCTGAACAAGCCCTGGGTGTTGCAGCCATCTGGAGAGTGAAACAGCAGACGGAAAATCCCCTTCTCAGTCTCAGCCACTTTCTCTGTAACTCCGATTTTTCGAATAAATAAATAAATACGGGGGGTGGGGGGGACTGCTTTCCTTGGATTTCTTTAAGAGAATGTGCTATGTGCTATACTTCAAGAAAGATTTCAGAAGACCAAGTTTTAGCCTTTTTTTAAAATCACATGTAGGACAACTATGGAAAAATGAGCTGGAAAGAGACATTTAGCACTTTTGGTAATTTAAAGGAACATGGGGGAACAAATACGTGTGAAAAAGATATTACATTTATTCACCAACACTTGGATTACATTTGTAATCAAAATATGCTCATGTCTAACATGATATATATAAAATATATTGTAATATATGATATATTATAATAATATATAATATAATATAATATATTAAGATATAATATGTAATAATATAATAACATATATTATATATATAAATATAATGGCTTAGAAGATGAAGGACCACAAAGGGAATAACAGGACCATCACTTCCTTGGAGACTTCTCAGCCTGATTTTATGTTCTGTTATTCACACAATAAAACGTGCTTGAGGTGGGAGAAAAGTATTTGATTGTGAAGAGCCCACGGTATCAGATCCTAGGGAAGTCTGAGCAGGAAGATCAGTGGTGTCTAGCATAACCTGAGAAGTTCACTTTAAAAAAAAAAAAAAAGATTTATTTATTTATCTGAAAGTCAGAGTTAGAGAGAAAGAGAGATCAATCTTCCATCTGCTGGTTCATTTCCCAAATGGCCAGGGCTGGGCCAGGCCAAAGCCAGAAGCTTCTTCTGAGTCTCCTGTGTGGGTGCAGGGGCCTAAGGACTTGGGCCATTTTCAGTGCTTTCCCAGGCCATTAACAGGAAGCTGTATCAGAAATGGAGCAGCTGGGACGTGCACCAGCACCCATATGGGATACTGGAATTGCAGAGATGGCTTAGCCTACTGAACCACAGCTGCTGGCCCCAGAGAAGTTCACTTTCTTGAAAGTGAAAATAGCAGAACAGCTGGGAATGCAAGTTCTAGAACCGGGCAACATAGATTTGAGGCCTGGCTGTAAGGCCAAGTAGCCACCGTAAGCTTGGAGTTCTCATCTATAAAATGGGGATAGAGTAGGCATTTGGTGCAGTGGTTAAGTCACTGCTTGGGATACCCACATCCCATATTAGAGTGCAGGTCCAAGTCCTGACTATTTTACTCCCCATCTGGCTCTCCACTAATGTCCCTGGAAAGCAGCAAATTATGACTCAAGCACTTGGGTCCCTGCTACCCATGTGGGAGACGTGGACAGAGTTTCAAGCTCCTGGCTTTGCCCTGGCCTGGAAGTATTTGGGGAGTGAACCAGCAGATGGAAGATATTTATCTGTATCTCTCTGTCACTTTGCCTTTCAAATAAATTAATTAAAAAGAAAAAAGATGGCCGGTGCCGTGGCTCACTGGGCTAATCCTCCGCCTGCGGCGCCGGCACCCCAGGCTCTAGTCCCAGTTGGGGAGCTCGTTCTGTCCCGGTTGCTCCTCTTCCAGTCCAGCTCTGCTGTGGCCCAGGAAGGCAGTGGAGGATGGCCCAAGTCCTTGGGCCCTGCACCTGCATGGGAGACCAGGAGGAAGCACCTGGCTCCTGGGTTCGGACAGGCACAGCACGCCGGCTGTAGAGGCCATTTGCAGGGGTGAACCAGCGGAGGGAAGACCTTTCTCTCTTTCTCTCTCTCTAACTCTGTCAAAAAGAAAAAGAAAAAGAAAAGAAAAAAGATTCAGGCAGCTGGGTTGCCTAGGTAAGGCACACAAGTCCAGAAATCACCCAACAGGGCCAATGTGAGCACATGTGGTGAAGGGACTCTGGGACACTCAAAGGAGAACTGCCTGCAGGCAGCTGAATATACGGAGACATGGAGTCATCAACATGTAGTAGAACACTGGTGCTAGAGGAATGAAGGCATCTCAGAGAAAAGGAAACACGTGCAAAGCCACACAAGTGAAGGAAAGAGAAGGCATAAGAGGAGAGGCAAAAAGGCCAGGAACCCCAGCTCTCTGCTGTGGCCAGGGAGTGCAGTGGAGGATGGCCCAAGTGCTTGGGCCCTGCACCCCATGGGAGACCAGGAGAAGCACCTGGCTCCTGCCTTCGGATCAGCGCGGTGCACTGGCCGCAGCACGCTGGCCGTGGCGGCCATTGGAGGGTGAACCAACGGCAAAGGAAGACCTTTCTCTCTGTCTCTCTCTCTCTCTCACTGTCCACTCTGTCTGTGAGAGAAAAAAAAAAATAAAAAAAAAAAAGGCCAGGAACCTTTCTCGGTAAAAGAACATTTTTTTCTAGGGAAAAGGCAACTGGGTCAAATACAGAAGAAAGAATATGCAAAATGAAAACAAATCCATCTATAAAGCAGTCACTGCATCACTCTATCTAGTGTCTTTTAAAAGTTTTACTTATTTGGGGGACCGGCAGTGTGGCGTAGCAGGTAAAGCCACAGCCTGCGGACTGGCATCCCACATGGGCGCTGGTTCGACTCCTGGCTGCTCCACTTCCAATCCAGCTCTCTGCTGTGGCTTGGGAGAGCAGTAGAAGATGGCTCAAGTCCTTGAGCTCCTGCACCCACATAGGAGACCCGGAAGAGGTTCCTGGCATATGGAAGACCTCTCTCTCTCTGCCTCTCCTTCTCTCTGTGTAACTCTTTCAAATAAATAAATAAACCTTAAAAAAAAAAAAAATAGAAGTTTTACTTATTTGAAAGAGAGACAGAGACAGAGATCTCCCATCCACTGGTTCACTCCCACAGGACTGGCCAGGCTACAGCCAAGAGCCAAGAATTCAATCCTGGTCACTCATAGATAACAGCCATCACCTACCGCCTCCTAGGTTGCACATCAGCAGGAAGCTGGACTCAGAAGGAGAGCTGGGCACTCTGAAATGGGATGCCCGTGTCCAGTTAGCATCTTAACTGCTGTGCCAAACATCCAACCTCTGTCAAGTCTTAATAGGACTCAACTAATGTCAGTCCCTCTCAGGCCCTCAGGAACAGGGCGTGCTACACAGCAGAGATCCACGGCAATAGGACTAGGCTTCTGACTCCTTTTTTTTTTTTTTTAATATTTATTTATTTGAAAGTCAGAGTTACACAGAGAGAGGAGAGGCAGGGAAAGAGAAGTCTTCCGTCCAATAGATTGGAAGTGGAGCAGCCAGGACTAGAACCGGTGCCCATATGGGATGCCGGCGCTTCAGGCCAGGGCGTTAACCCACTGTGCCACAACACCGACCCCAGCTTCTGACTCCTCTAACCAGCCCACCAAGCAGCCTGGTAACTCTGGTCAAGTTATTTTTATTTATTTGAAAGGCAGAGTTGGGGAGGGGGGGTGTGAGGCAGACAAAAAGACATTTTCCATCTGCTGGCTTACTCCCCAAATGGCCACAATGGCCAGGATTGGAACTCCATCCAGGCCTCCCAAATGGGTGGCAGGAGCCCAAATACTTGATCTTCTGCTGTTTTCCCAGGTGCCTTAGCAGGAATGCTCTATCTGAAGTGGAAGAGCAGGGACTCAAATCGGCACTCATATGGGATGCAGGCGTCACCCGTGGCAGCTTAACCCACTGTGCCACAATGCTGGCCCCGGGCCTGGTACTTCTATGCATATCTCCATATCTTTACCTCTAAAATGGCACTAGTAGCATCTCATTGTTACTCTGCATGTTCGATGAGCAAGTATTTCAAGAAGGAAAAGCATGTAAAAGCCAAACAACCTACAGATTTTTTTAATTGCTGTCATTAAAGATGCAGGCCAGGGCCTCCAACAAGACTGCGTTAGGATCACACCAGAACTTTTTTGAAACCACACAGGTGCCCTTGCCCCACATCCCTTCTTGTCTTCTGAGAGAATCAGCTTGCATGGGCCTCCTCACATCCTTATTTACCTTCCAAACCCACTGTGAAGCTTAAGAGTTAACAAACTCTAGCTGGCGCCGCGGCTCAACAGGCTAATCCAGCGCCGGCACAACAGGTTCTAGTCCCAGTTGAGGTGCCGGATTCTGTCCTGTTGCCCCTCTTCCAGGCCAGCTCTCTGCTGTGGCCCGGAGGGCAGTGGAGGATGGCCCAAGTGCTTGGGCCCTGCACCCGCATGGGAGCCCAGGAGAAGCACCTGGCTCCTGCCATTGGATCAGCGCGGTGCGCCGGCCGCAGCGCGCCAGCTGTGGCGGCCATTGGAGGGTGAACCAACGGCAAAGGAAGACCTTTCTCTCTCTTCCTCTCTCTCTCACTGTCTAATTCTGCCTGTCAAAAAAATAAAAAAGCTGGCGCCGCGGCTCACTAGGCTAATCCTCCGCCTGGCGGCGCCGGCACACCGGGTTCTAGTCCCGGTCGGGGCGCCGGATTCTGTCCCAGTTGCCCCTCTTCCAGGCCAGCCCTCTGCTGTGGTCAGGGAGTGGAGTGGAGGATGGCCCAGGTGCTTGGGCCCTGCACCCCATGGGAGACCAGGAAAAGCACCTGGCTCCTGGCTCCTGCCATCGGATCAGCGCGGTGCGCCGGCCGCAGCGCGCCGGCCGCGGCGGCCATTGGAGGGTGAACCAACGGCAAAAAGGAAGACCTTTCTCTCTGTCTCTCTCTCTCACTGTCCACTCTGCCTGTCAAAAAAAAAAAATAAAAATAAAAATAAAAAAATAAAAATAAAAAAACCTCTAGTATAGACCACTGTCTAGGAAATACAATTCTTCTAAACGCATCAGTAAATACTGAAGAAACATTATGGGAAAGGCATTGTGGCCACTGCTGGAGCACCGCATCCCGTACCAGAGTGCTTGGTTCAAGCCCAGCTATGCAACACTTCCAATCCAGCTTCCTGCTAGCACAAGTACACGGCCCCAGCCACCCACAAAGGAGACCAGCATGGGCTGTCAGGCAGTTGCAGGCATTTTGCAAGTGAGCTAGTGGATGGAAGATATCTATCTTCCCCCTCCTCGTCCCACCCTATATCACTCTGCCTTTGAAATAATAAATCTTTTTATTTAAATACTTTATTTATTTGAAAGGCAAAGTTACTGAGAGAAAGGGAGGGAGAGAGGGAGAGGGGGAGACAGAGAGGGAGAGAAGGAGGGGGGAAGAGAGAGAGGGAGGGGGAAGAGAGGGGGCAGAGGGGAAGAGAGGGAGAAAGGGAGAAGGGGAGAGGAGAGGGCGAGAGGGGGAGAAAGGGAGAAGCGGAGGGGGAGAGGGAGGGGAGAGAGGGAGGGGAGAGAGGGAGGGAGAGAGGGAGGGGGAGAGGGAGGGAGAGAGGGAGGGAGAGAGGAAGGGAGAGAGGGAGGAAGTGGGAAAACGACATGTTGATTTTTTTTTTTTTAACAAAAATTTCAAAATAGGGGCAAGCACTGTGGTATAGTAGGCTAAGCCTCCACCTGCAGTGCCAGCATCCCATATGGGTGCCAATTCCCTCCTCTTCCAATCCAGCTCTCTGTTTATGGCCTCAGAAAGCAATGGAAGATGGCTCAAGTTCTTGAACCCCTGCACCCACATGGGAGACCCAGAATAAGCTCCTGGTTTCAAATAGACCCAGCTCCAGCCACTGTGGACATTTGAGGAGTGATTCAGTGGATAGGCAGACCTTTCTCTCTGTCTCTCCCTCTGTCTATAACTATGCCTCTCAAATAATTAAGCAAAATCTTTAAAAAAATTTTTTTTCAAAATAACAGGTGGCAGCCGGCACCGCGGCTCACTAGGCTAATCCTCCACCTGCGGCCCCGGCACACCGGATTCTAGTCCCGGTCGGGGTGCTGGATTCTGTCCCGGTTGCCCCTCTTCCAGGCCAGCTCTCTGCTGTGGCCCGGGAGTGCTGTGGCGGATGGCCCAAGTGCTTGGGCCCTGCACCCGCATGGGAGGCCAGGAGAAGTACCTGGCTCCTGGCTCCTGGCTGCAGCGCACCGGCCGCAGCAGCCATTGGAGAGTGAACCAATGGAAAAGGAAGACCTTTCTCTCTGTCTCTCTCTGTCAACTCTACCTGTCAAATAAATAAATAAATAAATAAATAAATAAATAACAGGTGGGCATTTGGTACAGCATTTAAGACATCACTTAGGTTGGCTCTGCCCCTGACTCTGGCTTCCTGCTAATGTGTACCCTGGGAGGCAGCCAGGTGATTGCTGAAGTGGTTGGGTCTTACACCTACAAGAGAAAATCAAATTCAGTTCCCAGTGCCTGGCTTTGACCTGGCCCACCCCAGCTACTGTGGGCATTTGAGGAGTGAACCAGTGAATGAGTCACTTCTGGCTGTCTTCTGCTCTGTGTCTCTGCCTTTCAAATCAATAAATTTTGTTTCTAAATTTAATTTAAAAAATTTTTTTTAATTTCAAAATAATTTTACCTTTGGTTAGTGTGAAATTAAACTCTTATGATTCTTGGGTATTCACTCTAAAATCAATATATTTTAAATTCAAGGGTTTGGGGCCAGCGTTGTAGTGCAACAGGTTAAACCACCACCTACAAGCACCAGTTCAACTCCTAGCAACTCCACTACTGATCCAGCTCCCTGCCAATGCATCTGAGATAGCAGCGGAAGATGGCCCAAGTACTTGAGCCCACCATCCACATGGGAAACCCAGATGGAGTTCCTGGCTCCTGGCTTCAGCCTGGCCCAACCCTGACTGCTGCTGCCATTTAAGGAGTGAACCACAAATGGCAGATTTTCTGTGTCTCTTGCTCTGTCTTTCCAATACATCAATCTTTAAAATTAAATCAAAGGTTCACAAAATATAAAATTCCACATATCACATTATGTATTCACTTCATAAGTTACCTAGGAATTAAACCTAACCTGTGAAATTTCTTTAAATTATAATATAGAGTACATAATCTACATGAACTATGTACAGTAAGTTATGTCTGTGGTGAAAAAAACTTCTCTTATTTATGTATTAACATCCTGATGAATATATTGTATTGGATTTGGAAATTCTAAAATTCCATTTATTTTACTTCCAAATTTCATACATTCAGTCAGAAGTCTTCTCCCAATCCATTTTCCTAAGAGTGTCTTAAGCAGGCTTAAGTCCACATCTTTTCCACAAACCAAAACAGCCTCAGAAATACACAACCTTGACCATCACAAATCTGCAAGTGGTGAAATGACTGAGGAGAAGCCCAGCAGCTGGTGGGGCCAGGTGCCCTACAGCACCCTGAGGGCCTGCCCCTGCGGCCAGCAGCGAAGAGAGCACAGGTCACTCTATCTTCACCGTCTGTAGCTTGTCCTTCACTTGGATTGAGGAACGCACTGTGTATTTGACGCGTTTTGTTTCCTAGAACATATTCACTCCTATCTCGTTTGATGAGAGGGCAGGTAATTATTCAGTGCTGCTCCAAGGCTGTTGGAGGGTCACACAAGAAGACACAGCAGGGGCCCATGGGGCAGTAGTGTAATCCTCCATTTGCAGCACTGGCATCCTATATAGGAGCCGGTTCTAGTCCCGGCTGCTCCTCTTCCAGTCCAGCTCTCTGCTGTGGCCCGGAAAGGCAGTGGAGGATGGCCCAAGTGCTCAGGCCCCTGCACCCACATGGGAGACCAGGAAGAAGCACCTGGCTCCTGGCTTCAGATTGGCAAGGCTCCGGCCATTGCAGCCATTTGGGGAGTGAACCAGCAGACCTTTCTGTCTGTCTCTCCTTCTCACTGTCTGTAACTCTACCTCTCCAATAAATAAAATAAATCCTTGGGGGGGGGGGGGGGGCAGGCAGCTGGCTCTGTGGTATAGGGGGTTAAAGCCCTGGCCTGATGCACCGGCATCCCACATGGGTGCTGGTTCTAGTCTCGGCTGCTCCTCTTCCAATCCAGCTCTCTGCTATGGCCTGGGAAAGCAGCAGAAGATGGCCCAAGTCCTTGGGCCCCTGCACCCACGTGGGAGATCCGCAAGAAGCTCCAAGCTCCTGGCTCCTAGCTTCGGATCAGTGCAGCTCCGGCCATTGTGGCCATCTGGGGAGTGAACCAGCAGATAGAAGACTCTCTGTCTCTATCTCTCTCTGTAACTATCTTTCAAATAAATAAATAAATATTTAAAAAAAAGAAGAAGACACTGCCACACGCCATTCCCCTCATCCCACAGGACCTCACTGCCCGACGGGCTGCAGTACATCAACAGCAGTGGACTGAGGCCTCCACACAGAGGCAGGGCGACTGCAGCCACCCTCAGTCACGGCCACTGACTCAATGTCAGTGAGCACGGCCTCCACTGCACTTGACCTGCTGTTACGTCATCTGATTCCCAACAAACCTTAAGGATTTGGAACCTGGATTCCCTTGGTTCTACTGAATAACCAGGGCGCCCAAACTTGCTCCCGGCTACACAGCTGGCATGTGTGAAGCCAGCGTTAGGGCCCAGGTGACTCTGACTGCAAAACCCATGCTCTTGGGGCCGTGCTGTGGCGTAGGGGGTAAAGTTGCCACCTGAGACACCAGCATCCCACATGGGCACTGGTTAGAGTCCTGGCTGCTCCACTTCTGATCCAGTTCCCTGCCAGTGCACTTGGGAAAGCAGCAGAAGATGGCCTGAGTACGAGGGCCCCCACACCCACGTGGAACACCCAGAAGAAGCTCCTGGCTTCTGACTTTGGATCAGCCCAGCTCCAGCCACTGTGGCCATTTGGGGAGTGAAGCAGCAGATGGAAGACCTCTCTCTCTCCTTCTCTTTCTGTAAACTCTGCTTTTCAAATAAACAAATTGAAACAAAACAAAACACCCACGCTCTTAAGCACTCAGCTGCCACACACCAGGTGGAGGAGGTCCCCCCAGGCAAATGCACAACCGCCTGCACCAGAGGCCACCAGCCCTCGCGTACTTGACGGCGCCCACGTCCTCGGCGTAGCGTTGCATCTCCTCCCGGGCCCTCTCCTCTCGCAGCTCCCGCTGGAGCTCCTCAATCTTCTTCCGCTCAGCCTCATGCTTCTGCTCGGCCTTCCACACTTTCTCCACATTGCGCAGGGTCTGCGGGTGCCAGCTCTTCTTCAGATTCTGTAAACGAGAGGGGGAAACTCGGGGAGTGTAACCGGCCCCGCCTCATTCACCCCTCCCACAACCAATTCACACGGCGGCAGACAGGGTGGGCTGCGGCACGTTCAAGTATATAAAGCTCCAGGAGAGAACAGGCCCTTCCTGCGCTCCCTCCAAACACCTCACTGCATACAAGTCCTACAAGACAGGAGGAATGAGGCAGGGGCGGGAAGGCACATATTTTGAAAAGCAATGGAACTCAGGCTCCTTTGGTACTGAGCATTTCTTTTTTTAAACCAAGAGCTCCAAAATGCTACCCCTCTCTCCAAACTCCTACAAATAGTGGAGCCAACTCACTAATAAATGTGGGAAAGCAGCAGAAAATGGCCCAAGCACTTGGGCTCCTGCCACCCACATGGGAGATCCGATGAATCCCTGGGAAGTGAATCAGCACGTGGAATCTCTCTCTCTCTCCCTGTAACTCTGCCTTTCAAATAAATCTTTAACAAACAAAAAGGCCCTCAACTCAGCTCTCCCACATGGCTGGCAGGACCCAAGCATCACTGTGGCCCGCAGAGTCCACATCAGAGGAAGCTGGAACCAGAGCTGAGTCAGGCTCAAGCTCTCCGGCAGGGGCTGCGGGCGTCTTAGCCCCTAGGCTGAAAGCCCGCTGGTCCTACTCTAATGAACACACCTTGTCTGACCTCGAGCCCACTTCACTCCTAAGTCCCCACACTCGCCTGGTTACAACCCACCTAAGACACCTTTCAACTTTCCTCCCCAGGAACCTCCCCTAGGTTCTGAACCCCCCTTGACCCTCAAAGAATGCTGCTTCTTGCTCTCCTCCCATCATCAGCCTTGCAGTTCCTCAAGCAGAGAAAATTTCCTGGAGGAAACAACAGCTAAGAATAATGATAAATTGGCCTGGTGATGTAGGAAGTCAGGAGTACAGAGACCGACTTCCAGAGGAAAGAGAGAAGCCACCACATGTCACTCTGTGTGGCTGGGAGAGGAGCACCAGCTGGCAGGAGTGGGGGTTCCAGATGAAGCCAACTAAACAAGGAGATGAAGGACCTTAAAGCCATGAGAAGAAATTGTACTTTAGCCTGCTGACAGCAGGAAACAAACTGTCAAATGCAGGTGAAAGCATCACTAGTCATCATGTGAAAAACAGACTGGAGAGAGCCGGCGCCATGGCACAGTGGGTAAAAGCCACCGCCTACAGTGCCGGTATCCCAATTGGGCGCTGATTCAAGTCCTGGCTGCTCCACTTCTGGTCCAGCTCTCTGTTATGGCCTGGGAAAGCAGCAGAGGATGGCCCAAGTGTTTGGACCCCTGTATCCACATGGGAGACCAAGAAGAAGCTCCTGGCTCCTGGCTTCTTATCAGCTCTAGCCATTGCGGCCATTTGGGGAATGAACCAGCGAATGGAAGACCACTCTCTCTGACTCTGCCTCTCTGTAACTCTGCCTTACAAATAAATAAATACACATTTAAAAAGAGCAAAGAGAACATTATAAATAATGTTATAAAAAAAACAAACAACAGATTGCAGAGAGAGCCAAGACTAGAGATGAGGAAACACATTAAGAAGAGTGATGGGCTGGCGCTGTGGTGCAATAGGTTAAGCCTTCGCCTGCAGTGCCCAGGCATCCCATATGGGTGCCAATTCGAGTCCCGGATGCTCCACCTCCAATCTAGCTCCCTGCTGATGGTCTGGGAAAGCAGATGATAGGCTAAGTCCTTGGGACCCTGCACCCCACATGGGAGACTCAGAAGAAGCTCCTGGCTCCTGATCAGCCCAGCTCCAGCTGCTGCAGCCATTTGGGAAGTGAGCCAGTGAATGGAAGACCTCCCTCTCTCTGTAACTCTGCCTCTCAAATAAATACATAAATCTTACACAGGCGAAGACAAACAGATCACTAAATGAGAAAATACACACAAGAACCTGACCTGTGGAGTGTCACTGAGCACTCCTGTTCTTCCTTTTCCCTCTCCCTTCTTTTTGTGAGCTGGGTCTGTCCTGTTATCCCCCCGTCCCCCGACACCCCTTCTTGTCCCTCTGTCTTCCCTTCCCTCTGTCCCTCAACTTCAGGTGACTTTGCCCACCAGGGGACACGTGGCGATGTCTCGAGAAATTTTTGATTGTCACTCTGGGGAGAAAGGTGCCACTGGCGTTTAATGGCTAGAGGCCAGGGATGCTGCTAGAGACCCTACAATGCACAAGACAGGCCCGCCACCATCACCTCACATCCATACCCACGAAACACAGCTGGCCCAAGCTGCCAATAGCGCTGAGGCTGAAAAACCCTGGATCAGTTTTCCTGGCAGTTGCCTGAAAAAACAGCCTAAACTAAACAGACCATTATGGGGCCCTAGAACTTATCCTACTGTGATCAGTTCCAACAGGGCTACTGCACAGGGGGCTAAGCTGATGCATCTGCTGACTGGATTTGCTTCATTTCCAAGAGGTTAGTATTCCACTGATCTTACACTCACCCTTGAGAGTGTACTTGCCCCACTTGGAGCCTTAACCCCTACAAATGAATTTCAAATTAAGAAAACTGTCACTTCAGAATTGTACTAGGGCTGGCGCTGTGGCATAGTGGGCTAAAGCCTCCTCCTGCAGTGCCAGCATCCCATTTGGGCGCCAGTTCAAGTCCCGGCTGCTCCTCTTCCAATCCAGCTCTCTGCTATGGCCTGGGAAAGCAGTGGAGGATGGCCCAAGAGCATGGGATGCTGCACCCACATGGGAGACCTGGAAAAAGATCCTGGCTCCTAGCTTCGGACCGGCCCAGCTCCAGCAGCTGCGGCCATTTGGGGAGTGAACCAGTGGGTGGAAGACGTCTCTCCCTCTCGCTTTAACTCTACCTCTCAAAATAAATAAATATTTTTTTTAAAAAAAAGAACTGTTTTGGCCGGCACCGCGGCTCACTAGGCTAATCCTCCGCCTTGCGGCGCCGGCACACTGTGTTCTAGTCCCGGTCGGGGCGCCGGATTCTGTCCCGGTTGCCCCTCTTCCAGGCCAGCTCTCTGCTGTGGCCAGGGAGTGCAGTGGAGGATGGCCCAAGTGCTTGGGCCCTGCACCCCATGGGAGACCAGGAGAAGTACCTGGCTCCTGCCTTCAGATCAGCGCGGTGCGCCGGCCGTGGCGGCCATTGGAGGGTGAACCAACGGCAAAGGAAGACCTTTCTCTCTGTCTCTCTCTCTCACTGTCCACTCTGCCTGTCAAAAAAATAAAAGAACTGTTTCTATGAAGTACATTAAATCTGTTCTCTGTATATCAATAAAACAAACTGTCACATAAGTGCTATGAATTCAGAAGAAAGCTCTGTCAGTACAGATCAGAACGCAGCATGGAAGGAGGAATGAAAGTGAGAAAGGTGGGACCTTTCTTAAATGGACCCCTTAAAAATGGCCGGCTCAGGACCAGGGGACACCGGGCGCAAACTCCTAGAGCTCAGGCTCTCAACTCCTGGCTAAGGAAAGGGGCTGTATCCCAAGAAAATATACACAAAGCAAAGGACACGACAGGGCCTCGACGTCTGACTCCTTCCCTAGCCGTGGTTCCAACTGTCCCCCTCCCGTCCCACCTCCCACAATTTCCAGCCGCTACGGCCCCGACCCAGACAGCCACCCTTCGCGACACCCCTCGCAACAGCCCCCCCAAATCGCAGCTCCGTCTCCCTGCGGACCTAACGACCCCTCCTGCCAAAGGCAAGGCTTCGTTGCCATGGTTACCCACCTCCTCTCCCTCCACCTCCCACTCCCACCCCTGCCATTTTCCAGTCGGTATCTCCGGCCTCAGGCCTAGCTCCACTTACCAGGTCTCCGCCCCCCATGACGGTGGCGACGTTTCCTCACTACGCAGATCTGAAAGACTCAGGGAGGATCCGAGGAAACACAGAGAAATACTTCAGGGACAACTGAGCAGGATCTAGTCCCGAGAGACACCGGCCGTCTCCTTCCCCACCAGATGTAGGGGCCACTTCCGGGAGTAGCGTCATCTCCCTGCGTCGGCGTCGCGGGGCGGTGGCGTTTACGACGCTGTCGCGCAGTGTGGTGGTGGCCTCACGTACAGTTTCCGGCCCTACCTGCGGCGCCGTCGGGGGTCTTACTCGGTTGCCGGTTGTCGGTTGTCGGTTGTCGGTTGTCGGTTGAGCCCCCGGCTGCCGTGGGCTCCCCAACGCTGGTTTCTCTAACAGTGCGCCCGGGCGTCCGGCTCTGAGCTCCGCTCGGCGTCGCCCGAACGAGACCCCGGGTGGAGCAGCCCGGCCACCTCCCCCGGCACACAGCCCCGCACACCGGTTTTGCGAAACGGCTTTTCACACTGGCGCTTTCCTCAAACCTCGACTCGCTGCCATCCCCGTGGCTCCAGGTCTATTTTATGGAGACAGTAGAAAACATCAGATCGAAATTGTCAGCCCATATCTTTGGAAGCGGACAGCTTCCTAGTGCCTTCCCTTCCCAGGGAGCACGCGTGCTTCCCTCCTGCGGCTTTGCTGGCCGCTGCCTCTGCGTCCCGTCCCTCCCAGGCCGTGTGACCGCTTTCTCCCCTCCCTGTCCCCTGGATCTCCTTCCGCACGGGCCCTCCGTCACCAGCATTTCTGCCACGTTCACACGATCCCATTCCTCCTCCCCAGGGTCTCCAGGAGTCCCCCCGCCCTGCGTTTGAATCATGGGCACGTTGCAGGCGCGGTGGTCGGGACTGTCTTTAAGCAAACATGTTTCTCCCGCACCACCGGCCGGGTTTTCCTCTTCTCGGAGAGTATCTCTTTTTCTCCTTCCCTTTGTCTCTTACATTCTAGCTTCTCGTAATCGGCCCTCCTTGTGCTGCCAGCTCCTCACAGGGCCTCAGCTGCCACAAAGAAGTGGCTGCGCCCCAAATCCTTGTCTCTGGCCGTGTTCTCCAGGCTCCAGAGTTGTCAGTCTGGCTGCTAGGCATTCACAGCTGCACATCCGCAGCACAAAGGGAACTCACGGTCTCCCCTAATCCAGCGCTTTTCGACTCTGACGACCACCTGTCCATCCAGACTTCATTCTAACCTCTTCTGACGTCAACATCCCGTCAAGCACCAAGACTCCCAACTGCTAAAGATCTCTCAAATCCGTGATCTCTGTCCATCCCCAATCAGCACCAGCCTGATTCTGGTCGCCGAACTCTTTGGTGAGTCTCGTTTCCCCCACCTTCCGTGTTATTTTTTTTTTTTTTTTTTTTTTTTTTTTTAAGGTTTATTTTCTTGAAAGAGAGAGAGAGAGGGAGATAGATTCACTCCCCAGTTGGCCACAATGGCCGGAGCTGCGCTGATCCGAAGCCGGGAGCCAGGAGCTTCTTCTGGGTCTCCTACATGGGTGCAGGGGCCCATGCACTTGGGCCATCTTCTACTGCTTTCCCAGGCCATAGAAGAGAGCTGGATCGGAAGTGGAGCAGCCAGGACACGAACTGGTGCATATATGGGATGCCAGCACTGCAGGCGGCAGCTTTACCCACTGCACCACAGCGTGGGCCCCCCATGTTATTCTTTACCACTTTATTCATGTAATAGCTACAAATGATTCCTCCAAAATGCAAATCTGACTGCATCAACTCCCTGCTTTAAACTGTCCATAGCTCCCTATTATTCATAATGGAAAGCCTACATCTTTCTCAGAAGCCTACATTTTTATTTTAAAGATTTATTTATTTCATTTGAAAGGCAGAGTTACAGAGAAAGTTAGAGAGGTCTTCCATCCACTGGTTCACTCCCCAAATGGCCACAACGGCAGGAGATGGGCCAATCCAAAGCCAGGAGGCAGGAGTTTCTTCTGGGTCTCCCATGTGGGTGCAGGGCCCCAAGTACTCTGGCCATCTTCCACTGCTTTCCCAGTTGCATTAGCGGGGAGCTGGATCTGAAGTGGAGCAGCCAGGACACGAAGCAGCGCCCATATGGAATGCTGGCACTGCAGGCAGCAGTTTTACCTGCTACACCACAACACTGGCCCCTGAGTGTCTTCTTAAATACCAAAGATTCCCAAGCCATACCCTGACCCACTGAACGACCTTTTCTGAGGTTAGTTTTCATGGAAAAATAAATGAAATGGTCATGTCGCAAACCTGAAAACATGGCTGCGTGTTTGGTGCAGCAGTTAACTTGCATCCGGCATCAGCACACCTGGGACAGGTCCTGGCTACTGTAATTGGAATCTGCCTTCCTGCTGGGAGGCAACAGATGATGGTCCAAGTATTTTGGAGGGGGGTAAGAGTTCTTTACATGTCCTGGACACCCCATTTCTTTGTCAGATATGTGTTTTGTAAATAATTTCCCCTCGTCTGTAGCTTAACTATTTTTTTTTTTTTTTGACAGGCTGAGTGGACAGTGAGAGAGAGAGACAGAGAGAAAGGTCTTCCTTTGCCGTTGGTTCACCCTCCAATGGCCGCCGCGGCCGGCGCGCTGCGGCCGGCGCACCGCACCGATCCGATGGCAGGAGCCAGGAGCCAGGTGCTTTTCCTGGTCTCCCATGGGGTGCAGGGCCCAAGCACCTGAGCCATCCTCCACTGCACTCCTGGGCCACAGCAGAGGGCTGGCCTGGAAGAGGGGCAACCGGGACAGAATCCGGCGCCCCGACCGGGACTAGAACCCGGTGTGCCGGCGCCGCTAGGCAGAGGATTAGCCTAGTGAGCCGCGGCGCCGGCCTAGCTTAACTATTTTTTGAGCGTATCATTTGATTAGCAGACATTTTAAATTTTGCTAAAGTCTATTTTCCCCATGCTAATTGTTTTTGTCTGAGAAACCTTTTCCCCATCCTCACGTCAGAAAGCTATTTTCCTCAAACAGCTTTATGGTCTATGATCTTTCTCCAATTAATTATGTCTGCAGGGTGCCACATGGATATCCAGTTAGTTACTCCAGTATGATTTTTTAAATTTAGTTTAGTTTTATTTGAAGGGCAGGCTGACAATGCCAGACACAGAGACATTCTCTCTACTAGTTCATTCCCCAGATGCCCACAACAGCTAGGGCCAAGCCAGGCCAAAACCAGGAGGCAGGAACTCATCTGGGTTTCCCGCATGGGTAGCAGGGCCCAAGCACATTAGCGGGAATGCTGGGTAGCCAGGATTCACACCAGCAGCCCGATATTGGATGCAGTGTCTCAGCGGTGGCTTAACCTGCTGCACCAGAACATCTGTCCCTCCAGCATGATGGTTTTTGGTGGGGGGCAGCCCAAAGGCAGGAGGCTGCAAATCCACATGTGTCTCCCACATGTGTGCAGGGGCCCAAGCACTTGGTCATCTTTTTTTTTTTTTTTTGACAGGCAGAGTGGACAGTGAGAGAGAGAGACAGAGAGAAAGGTCTTCCTTTGCCGTTGGTTCACCCTCCATTGGCCGCCGCGGCCGGCGCGCTGCGGCCGGCGCACCGCGCTGATCCGATGGCAGGAGCCAGGAGCCAGGTGCTTTTCCTGGTCTCCCATGGGGTGCAGGGCCCAAGCACCTGGGCCATCCTCCACTGCACTCCCTGGCCACAGCAGAGAGCTGGCCTGGAAGAGGGGCATCCGGGACAGAATCCGGCGCCCCGACCGGGACTAGAACCCGGTGTGCCGGCGCCGCTAGGCGGAGGATTAGCCTAGTGAGCCGCGGCGCCGGCCCTTTTTTTTTTTTTTTTGACAGGCAGAGTTAGAGAGAAACGTCTTCCTTTTCTGTTGGTTCACCCCCGAAATGGCCGCTATGGCCGGCGTGCTGTGCCGATCCAAAGCCAGGAGCCAGGTGCTTCCTCCTGGTCTCCCACCCGGGTGCAGGGCCCAAGCACTTGGGCCGTCCTCCACTGCCCTCCCGGGCCAGAGCAGAGAGCTGGACTGGAAGAGGAGCAACTGGGACAGAATCTGGCGCCCCAACCGGGACTAGAACCCGGGGTACTGGCGCCGCAGGAGGAGGATTAGCCTAGTGAGCCGCGGCGCTGGCCACTTGGTCACCTTTTGCTGCTTTCCCAGGCACATTAGCCGGGAGCTGGATTGGAAGTGGAGCGGCAGGGCCCTGAACCAGGGATGCTCATATAGGATGCCAGCATTGCAGGTGGTGGCTTAATCTGTGTCACAATTGCTGAGCCCAAAATTATGTTCTTTAGATCTGACAAAAATATCCCTTCAAAATTTAGAAATGCGTCTATTAGAAATCATATCTAGGGGCCGGTGCTGTGGCACAGCAGGCTACTGCCCTGGCCTGAAGAACCTGCATCCCATATGGGCGCTGGGTCGAGACCCAGCTGCTCCATTTCCAATCCAGCTCTCTGCTGTGGCCTGGGAAAGCAGTGGAGGATGGCCCAAGAGCATGGGATGCTACACCCACATGGGAGACCTAGAGGAAGCTCCTGGCTCCCGGCTTCAGATCGGCACAGCTCCAGCCATTGCCGCCAATTGGGGAGTGAACCATTGAATGGAGGACCTCTCTCTCTCTGCCTCTCCTTTCTCTGTGAACTCTGACTTTTAAATAAATAAATCTTTAAAAAAAAAAAAGGAAATCATATCTAGAAAAAGTGGGTACATATTTGTAAAAGGTACATATCTTGGGGTCAGCGCTGTGTTGTAGCTGGTAAAGCTGCCGTCTGCAGTGCCTGCATCCCATATGGGCACCGGTTCAAGTCCCGGCTGCTACATTTCTGACCCAGCTCTCTGCCATGGTCTGGGAAAGCAGAAGATGGCCCAAGGTCTTGGGCCCCTGCACCTGCGTGGGAGACCCAAAAGAAGTTCCCAGCTTCAGATTGGCTGAGCTCTGGCCATTGCAGCCATTTGGGGAGTGAGCCAGCAGATGGAACTCTCTCTCTGTTTCTGCCTCTCTGTAACTCTGCCTTTCAAATAAATAAATAAATGTTAAAAAAAAAAATGGTACATCTCTTTCTCGGGCGACAGTTGCCCCTCTCTGCCAGCTGCACGTGAACATGTCACCTCCCATCAGACTGCAAGTTCCCTGATCAGGGACCCTTCTTCCATCTTTTAAATTCACAGCAGCTTTGCTTGTGCTCCATTTGAAAAATAGGGAGTGAATGGACATCTTTGTATTTACTCCATCATACATCAGATTGTTAAACTGTGTTCACAGCTTGCAGGCCTAACCTTAAATCCTAGAGTTAGAATTTCCTCTAGGACTCTGCCCTCAGTGAAGCCTGGGGCTGGGGGTCCTGCAGAAGCTTTGGCCTAGTGATGACTCAGATGGTGGCAAGCACTAGTATTTCAGGACAAGAGGGAGCTGAAATTTCCTTGTCTTTCCCAGAGATGCTGTGGCTGGCAGTTTTTACTCTTTCATTTAAAGGACTTACAAAAAAGAGGAGGGGGCACCCGGATTTGAACCGGGGACCTCTTGATCTGCAGTCAAATGCTCTACCCCTGAGCTATACCCCCACACCCTGTAAAGGTCTCTTCCTTGTCCACTTTATGGTGACTCAATGCAATCAGTTTCCACCCACACAAGAGTGCCAGCAGGCTTTGTGTTCCGAAGCCTCACCTTTTATATCTAACATCTGCTCTGGCTTTTTTCTCGGCCACCACTCGACAGGGTGGAGACACTTAAAAGATGACATCCTGCAAAGCAGCTGCAAAGGACAGTGACAGGACCCAAGCAGAGAAAATGCCCCAAGTCCAGTATGACTGTACCTGAAGACTGGGGCGGAAAACTGTCGTCTGGTTTACCTGCTGGCTTTTGGTGAACTGAGACCGCTGAGGATTTTGGATGGAAATCCCTCTCAGAGCAGCCCACCACGCCTGGGGCCATACTGCCTGCTGTGCCAGACACTGGAGCCAGCTTCTGACCCCAGGGCCCTGCCCATGCAGCTTGCTGGGGGGTTAAGAGTGCCTGCTTGCAATCACACCGCAGGGGGTGGCCAGGCCTCTAGGCTCCTTGGCCCGGGAGTGCAAGGTCAGTGCCCTGACAGACCCTGTCTCCTCTCACTTCCCCTCCAGGGGGTAAAGCAGATGAGGGTGGGGAAGCTAGCCTGCCCCTCCTCTCACCTCAGGGAAGAAGCAATGCACTTGGAGACACAAAGAAGATTTTTTTTTTTACATGTAAAATCACATGGAGAGTCCATCTAAACATCTGTCTTAGCAATTCAGGTGGAGGACAGGGGAGGGGAGAGAAGCTGTTAGAAGAGGGGGAATGGCGTGACCTCTCCAAAGACGGACAGACGCTGGCGGAGGGCTGGGGTGTTCCTGCGGTAGCCAAAGCGGCCGTTGAACCCGGTGACGAGTTTCAGATCCCTGTTGTAGTGGTCATGGCCGGTCACCTGCTGGAGGGAGTGCCCTTGGGGGCAGAGTCAGAGGCATGAGGCTGCAGCATGCAGCCCCTCCTGACTTCCCACTCCCATGCAGCTGCCCTCAATCTCCCGATGTCCTCCATGCACCTCGCCAAGGCTGGTGAGGTCAAGGACATAGAAGGCTTCCCAGAAAGCAAACCCCGTGGCAGGCTTCCTTGCAGGAGGACCTTGAAGAGCATGTCCTGGGACAGCAGGGCTCAGAAACTCTGGGGCTCGGGCTGAACTTGTTTTGCTCCCAGGGGAAATGAGAACATTTCATGTTGCCTCTGACCCATCTGGAGAAAATGGGTGACATCAACTTGGCCCCACGGTGCAAAGGATCACGTGACTAGAGGGTGGTGAAGTTGGGGTGGGAGGAGGCTTGGGATTCCAATCTCAGCTCAGCCCTTCTTAGCAAATCAGTCTGAGTCGGTAAGTCAGCTGCAACAGGGAATAGTGGGAGAGTCGAAGACATTACAGTAGGTGCTCAATACATGAATGTTAGGGAAGGGGCACTGGGCCGGCATCTGCTCACCCTAGGAGAAGCGGCCCAGGGCTTCCTCCCCAGCCAGGCCCCTCTGCAACCCAGTTTGTCTCTGAGTGGAGGGACAACAGGGAGGCTGGAAAGGGAACGGTGACACTTGCCTGCCCCTGCCCAGTTTCTCCTGTTAAGGTATCGCTGTCCTTGCCCGAAGATGTGGAAATAATCTACTATCCAGCCGTCTCTTCCTGTGCCACCATGATCCTGCAAGTGAGCAAGAACACAGATGCCCATCAGTGGCCTCGGGGACAGTGCGGGGTGCGGCCCCTGGGCACGAAAGCCATCAGAGACAGGGTACTGGGCCCGGACAGACTGTATTTCACCACCCGAGGATGCGCAGCTGGGCGCTTAGAGCCTCAGTCTCTGTTGTCAGGAAGGGCTCCAGCTCCAGCTCTCACCCCAGCAAAGGGCATGCCCTCAGGCCAGCTACTCGGCTTTTGTGGAGTTCAGCTTCCTCATTACTAAAAGGAAGGTTGCTGTGAGACTTTAGTGACTTAGTTCAGCTATAGGGCCTGGCCCAGTCTAGATTTAAGAAACATGTAAATGAAACACACAGGGTGTTTTTGATGATTAAAGAATGCTTTCAAAGTTGTTGAAGTTTCCCAAATGTGTACAAGGGTACTTCAAAAAGTTCGTGGAAAAATGGAATGAAAAGATAAGTTTGTTTTGGCGCAAAACAATTTTGGAATCCATGTGTAGTTTTCTTCTCATGACCAGCATTTTCCACGAAGTTTGTGAAGGGTACACACCGCGTGATTTCCGTGCTTTCACAGACACGTTCTTCCCTGCCCTGGCGCCCCAGCCGCTGGCTCCTTCTGTCCTTAGTTAGATGAGCAGAGGCACTGCTCTGTGTCCAGATCAGCAGGGCTGGGGGGCTTCAGTACGTTCCTGGACAAACGAGATTGATAAAGTGGGTTTCCCATGACCTTAGGAAGGCACCTTTGCGCATGCACGGGCCACACAGGCACGCACACCAGCCCTGTGGGCCACAACAGGGGGTCGCGGAGTAAGCCCCTTCCCCCGAGCACCACGCTAAAACAAGTGCTGGGGCAAATGAAGCTGTCCACCAACAGCCTCGGGGTCTTCGGTCCCGGAAGCACTGTGGGGGCTAGCGCAGGAAGTGAGGTTGTCAGGTTGGGAGAGCTCCTTCGCTTCTGCTCCGCGGTCCCGGGAGCGAGCTCCTCCCGCACGCTTGACGCCACAGGAGGGCGGTGCCAGTTCCCTTTTGTCCTGCTCAGTGAGGTGCTCGCGTTTTGTAGAATTCGGCGTGAGGTCACCCCAAAGGGCGGGCCTGTGACGTTCCAATGGACAGTTGCACCGATGAGTTTGGGAGAGGGCAGCCTTGAGCCCTGGCCGCTGCTCTCAAGTTCTGGGGCAGACGGTGCTGGCGCCCGGGCTCCACACCTGTCACTCGGTTTCCCGTTTCTTTAAGAGAACCGAGGAGTCTGGGAGGTCGGCCCCGCCACTAGGGCGAGCCCCAGGCCAGTGGAGAAAGTGGGGTCCTCCCCGAAGCTCCCCTACCTGACCGGTCTTGCGCAAGATGGGTGGAACCACGTGGCTCTGGAAGTACCGACGCGCGTGGTAGTCCTGTTGCGCGTTGTAGGGCGGAATCGCAGACCACAGCTTGGGCCTCGTGCGGTCATAGGCGCGGGCCACACTGCTCACGGCCACCCCGTCCAAGATAAAGCCCTTCTCCAGCCTCAGGGGGCACTCGTACAAGTGGGACATCCCAAGCTCGGCAGCCCTTGGGGGCTCTTCCAGCAGGAAATGAGGGCCCCGGTTGGGAACTCCCTTGCCCATTGTTACGTACATATGTCATGTCAAGGGCCCCTGCGCCACAAACCCTGAGTTGCCTGGGTAGGTCCTTAGAGCATTGGTGAAGTGATTGCTTGGCCCTGAAGTGAGAGGTGACCAGGAGGCGTGCCGACGGAAGACAGAGATTGAGACAGGACTATGGAGTGTGAGCATTTTGAGTACACTCGGCCAGCTCCCTGGCTGTTATTGTTTTGTTTTGTTGTTGTTGTTTTTTGTTTTTGTTTTTGTTTTTTTGTTTTTTGACAGGCAGAGTGGACAGTGAGAGAGAAAGAGACAGAGAGAAAGGTCTTCCTTTTGCCGTTGATTCACCCTCCAATGGCAGCCACGGCCAGCGCATCGCGTTGATCCGAAGCCAGGAGCCAGGTGCTTTTCCTGGTCTCCCATGCGGGTGCAGGGCCCAAGCACTTGGGCCATCCTCCACTGCACTCCCGGGCCACAGCAGAGAGCTGGCCTGGAAGAGGGGCAGCCAGGACAGAATCCAGTGCCCCGACCGGGACTAGAACCCGCTGTGCCGGTGCCACAAGGCAGAGGATTAGCCTATTGAGCCATGGCGCTGGCCTGTTATTGTTTTAATATATCAAATTATTGGGTGGGAAAATCACTATGTTCCTAAATCTGTATATGTGAATTACATGAAATTTGTTCACCTTAAATTTAAAAAAATATTTTTTTTTGACAGAGTTAGATAGTGAGAGAGAGGCGCCGTGGCTCACTAGGCTAATCCTCCACCTAGCGGCACCGGCACACTGGGTTCTAGTCCCGGTCGGGGCGCCGGATTCTGTCCCAGTTGCCCCTCTTCCAGGCCAGCTCTCTGCTGTGGCCAGGGAGTGCAGTGGAGGATGGCCCAAGTACTTGGGCCCTGCACCCCATGGGAGACCAGGAGAAGTATCTGGCTCCTGCCATCGGATCAGCGCGGTGCGCCGGCCACGGTGCGCCGGTCACAGCGCGCTGGCCGCGGCGGCCATTGGAGGGTGAACCAACGGCAAAGGAAGACCTTTCTCTCTGTCTCTCTCTCTCACTGTCCACTGTGCCTGTCAAAAAAAAAAAAAAAAAAGATAGTGAGAGAGAGACAGAGAGAAAGGTCTTCCTTTGCTGTTGGTTCACCCCCAAAATGGCCGCTACGGCCAGCATGCTGTGGCTGGCGCATCACACCGATACGAAGCCAGGAGCCAGATGCCCCCTCCCGGTCTCCCATGCAGGTGCAGGGCCCAAGCACTTGGGCCATCCTCCACTGCCCTCCCGGGCCACAGCAGAGAGCTGAACTGGAAGAGGAGCAACAAGGACAGAACTGGTACTCTGACCGGGACTAGAACCCAGGTGCTGGCGCCGCAGGCGGAGGATTAACCTAGTGAGCTGTGGCACAGGCCAAAAAAATATTTTTTAAAGATTTATTTATTTGAAAGTCAGAGTTACACAGAAGAGAGGCAGAGAGAAGTCTTCCATCTGCTGGTTCACACCTCAATTGGCTGCCGTGACCAGAGCTGTGCCAATCCAAAGCCAGGAACCAGGAGCTTCCTCTGGGTCTTCTCATGCAGGTGCAGGGACCCAAGGACTTGGGTCATCTTCTACTGCTTTCCGAGGCCATAGCAGAGAGCTGGATGGGAAGTGGAGCAGCCGCGACTCGAACTGGTGCCCATATGGGATGCCAGCACTACAGGTGGCGCCTTTACCTGCTACGCCACAGTGCTGGCCCCTAAATTTTTTTGTTTTGTTTTGTTAGTATTTATTTAAGAGACAGGAAAACGGGAGATCTCCCATCTGCTGTTTCATTTCCCCAAGTGCCCAAAACAGCAGCTGGTTCCTTTTATTTTCATTTTTTTAAAAAAATTTATTTTATTTATTTGAAAGGCAGAGTGACAGAGGAAGGTAGAGACAGAGAGAGGTCTTCCATCCACGGGCTCACTCCCCAAATGGCCGCAAAGGCTGGAGCTGGGCTAATCTGAAGCCAGGAACTTCTTCCGGGTCTCTGACTAGGGTGCAGGACCCCAAGCACTTGGGCCATCCTCCACTGCTTTCTCAGGCACATTAGCAGGGAGCTAGATTGGAAGTGAAGTATCAGAACCTTGAACAGGCGCACATATGATAAGCTGGCACCGCAGGCCAGGGCTTTAACCTGCTACGCCACAGCACCACAGCATGTCCCTCCTTTTTTATTTGAGAGACACGGGCTGGTTCATTTCCCAAATGCCTGCTACAGCCCTGGCTGGACCAGGGTGAGGCCAGGAGCCAACTCAATATAGATCTCCTACGTGGCTGGTGTTAGGCTTAATGAGTTTAGGGTTCAAAGAAGGCAAGGAGGCAACCAGTTCCAGTAGAAAAGACTATTTCAGTGGGGACAGAATGCAGGGGCCAGGTAAAGAAAGTAGGGGTTCAGCCTGCTGGGCCACAGGGGTTTTCAGCCAGGCTTCCTTCCATTTGGGCAGCAGGCACAGGCCCCGAAGCAGCTTGTTGGGGGAGGTGCGGGCACTACATGGACCCTGAGAGGGTGGCTGGGGGACTTGCACAAGGGTCCTTGGAGGTGTTTACAATGCATGGTCTTAGCAGTTTGGAATGTCCCAAGTGAAGGGCTTTCCTGAGCAATAAAAATCCCATTTGCCTTTAGATTATCTGTGCCGTTTCATCGGGCTTGGGCATCATAGGCCTAACAGGTAGCAGAGATCCAAGTTCTTGAGCCATCACCTTCTGCCACCCAGGGTGTGCATTAGCAGGCAACTGGAATTGAAGCACAGCTGAGGCTTAACCAGGTTCCAAATGGGGTCTTCCTGGCTGCACCAGACACCCACCGCAGCTCCCTGTTTTAAGAGCAACGTGGTCTTTTCTCCCAATGTGTATTACAGTTTCCCTAATCTGGCTCCCTTAAGGCTTGCACTCAGAATTGGTAAGAAAGTTCAGATAGCTCCTATTTCCAACTCTTCATTTTGCAGAGCTGAAAACTGAAGCTCAGATTCCCCAAATGTCGTTAGTGGCGACTCTAGAACTCAGGTCATCTAACTTGCGATCAGATCAGGGGCCACACCTCCCCCCGCCCACCGGATCTTTGCATTAACTGGTATTCATCCTTCTACAAAAACAGAAGTGGGTCCATCATAGCATTTTCCCTTCTGCTACTCTAATGCGTATGCTTGTTGTAGAATACAGCATAAAATGTTTTGTCTGGTTCTGACTCCAGCTGATTACTTCCTATGTTATTTCTCCCTAATAAATCCTTACATAGATGTTTATATGTCAATGCACCTTCTACAGAGTACTCACAACCACCCCCTAAGGTGCAAATTAACCTAACTAGACCGATATCAGGGGCTTAGGGGATTTACTTTTAACTTTTACTTAGAAAAGCAAGACAAATCTCCCATCTGCTGGTTCACTCACCAATGCCCCTAACAGGGGTGGGTCTTGTGGCACAGCAGGTTGAGGTACCCTTTGGGACACCTGCATCCTGTAGTGCATGGCTGGAGTCCTGGCTACCGCACTTCCAATCCAACTTCCTGCTAATGCATCCCGGGAGGCAGGCTTATGCTTGGACCCCTGCCACAAATTCCCAGCCCTGGCTGTTTTGAGCTTTTGGGATGTGAACAGATGGAAGATAAACATTAAAACACACACATAGGACACTGCCTGGCTGGGTGCTGGTACCCATCCCAGCTGCCTTACTTTAATCCAGCTCCCTGCTAATGGCCTAGGAAAAGCAGATGGATCAAGTGTTTGGGCTCCTGCCCCCCATCCCCACACACACATGATGGGAGATCAGGATGATGCTACTGGCTTTGGTCTGGCTCAGGCCTGGCTGTTGCTGTCCTCTTGACCGAACCAACAGATCTCTAACTCTTGCACTTTCAAATACACAAATGCCCCAGTGACTAAAGCCAGAACTGGGAGTTCAATCACAATCTTTCACGTAGGTGGTTGGGATCCAAGTACAGGAGCCACCCCCTGCTGCCTCCAAAGGTACACTAGCAGAAAGCTGGAACCACAGCATGTTTACATGGGATGCAGTCTTCAGTGTTGTGCCAAACACTTCCCTGGGATGTATTTCATTTTTGCTAATACTTTTAAGATACATATGGAGCCAGAGCTGTGGCATGGCAGGCAAAGCTGCCACCTGCAGTGCCGGCCTCCCATACGGGCGCTGGTTGGAGTCCTGATCGCTCCACTTCTGACCCAGCTCTCTATGGCCTAGGAAAGCAGTGGAGGCCTGGAAGTTCTGGCCATTTGGGGAGTGAACCAGCAGATGGAAGGTCTTTCTGAAACTCTGCCTTTCAAATAAATAATCCACATTGCCTGCATTACACAGCTACAGAAAAAAAAATCACTAGTTCTGGCCATGTCTTTTTCACTATCTCAAAAGCCTTCCTCACCATAGGACACTCAGTGTACATGAGGTAACCTGTCACCAACTAGCATTTAGTATTTGCAGTTTAGGGACTTGAAAGCCTACAGCAGAAATTGAAAATACCAGAGCAAATGTTTAGCTTAGAAAACCCAACACCCGTAGTGGAGATCCTGGTTCAACTGCCAGCTCGATGGCACCTTCCTGCAAACGCACATCCTAGGAGACAGCAATGGTTGTCCCTGCTGCCCACGTGTGAGACTGGGCTTCAGCCTGGCCCAGCCCTGAATTTGGGAAGTAAATCTATAGGTATATCCATCGCTCCACCTGTCAAATAAACAAGCTTATGGCCATTGGTTCATTTCCAATGGCCAAAGTTAGGCCAAGTCGGAGCCAGAAGCCCAGAACTCCATCTAGGTATTCCCTGCCAATGGCAAGGTGCATCAGCAGGGAGCTGTATTGGAAGCAGAGCAGCTTTGGCCTCTAGGATGGTATCTTTGTTTACATATGCCCATGGAAAGCCTGAACAGTCTCATTTTACAAAGAAGCAATGGGTAGGGTGTGTCAGGAGGTGTAGAAATGAACAGGAATGCAAGGACTGGGAGCAAATACTTTTTAATGGGTTATTTATCTTTTTTACAAATACACTGGAGGATCATGCAATGCTGCCTGCATTGGATGCAATCCTAGGCCACAAGTCTGCACACTCCTTTGCAACTGGTCCAGTGATGGCAGAACCT